ACAGGTGAGTTATCTTTTAGCTGATGGACTGCAGTCCCTTTATTTTACCAGTCAGTAGCTGCTGTTTTCTAGCTTCCAACATTACAAATAAGAAGTCTAATATTTTTTCTTTTTAGATAACTGGCCTTTCTGCCTGAAAGCTTATGAATTTTCTTTTTTTCTTAGCATGTAGGAATGACATCTGTATATGCTTAGTATGAGTCTTTACTCATTAATCCAGACAGAAATGTACTGAGTTCTTTAGATCTACAGACTCAAACCTTTAAATTTTTTTTCAGCCCAGAAACTTTTTCTATTATTTTGTTATTCATTCATTTTTTCGGTTCTATCCATTCTTTTTTTTTTTTTTTTCCTGGGACTTATATGTCTGCATATTAGGTCTCATAGACCTATCCTTTAAGCCTATTAACATTTAAAAAAAATTATTTCTATCTCTTTCTTTTCCTCTATGCTTTGGGGTATTTAAGTTATGTAGGCTACTTCTTGGGTCTCAAAAGTGACCATTTCAATTCACTTGCTAAATTGATGAATTAGGAAGATATAAGTAAATAGATTCAGATTTAGAATTTAAATTTCTATTTTTAAAAGTATATATATATGTGTGTGTATATATATATATATATATACATATATATATATTTAAAGATTTTATTTATTTATTTGACACACAGAGAGAGATCACAAGTAGGCAGAGAGGCAGGCAGAGAGAGAGAGTGGAGGAAGCAGGCTCCCCACTGAGCAGAGACCCTGGGATCATGACCTGAGCTGAAGGCAGAGGCCTTAACCCATTGAGCCACCCAGGTGCCCCTGAAAATATATTTATACACACACATATTGTATATTTGTTTTTTCATTTCATTGAGGTTCAAGTCTGGTTAATGGACTATTTTAAGTGGTAGTACTCCCATAGACAGGGGAAGACAAAGAGGCAAGGCAACATTTAAGGCAGCTGGCTATTGAGTAAGAAGCATGAATCCTGCCATTTTCCTACTGAGGCACCTGGATAAAACCCTCTTGCTTTCTAGTCTACTTACAATCTCTCAGACTTAGCACAGGAGACAGTCAACTTCAGCTTTTTCTTGGCCTCCTGGGAGTCAAAGAACCCCAGTAAATTTATACAGATCTTTTAAGAGTTCCACAGAACTAGGGTCTAGGCTTTTTTCAAGAAACCCCACTTTCAAGTCTGCACACCTAGGCTCTGATGTTGTTTTCCACATTCTTATCTAGCCCATGAAGAAGGGGATGAGAGAGATCCAACATCAGGTTTCTAAACCAGTGCTCTGAACTTCTCTTCGTAAGTCTCAGTTCTCTGGTTTAGGAGAAGCAGACATCAGACATCATAGGGAATAGAAGAGCTCATTACAATTCTCCCCCATGATCCACATCTAACTTTAGTAGAGAGTTTTAAAATTTATTTTATTTTTTATTGCACTTTTCTGTGAGTGACCTTATAAAATGGGAGACCCGTTCACTATCTTTTATATGAAAAAGCTCTGATTTTTCCCCAGTATTTGCCAACCTTAACATGATGAAGACATGTGTTTGGGATGAAAGGTCTTAAGGATTCCAGTTGTTTGAAACAAAACTCTGGTTCCACTTCCTTCTCAGAGTAAGTTCAAAAAAAGCTTAAAATCCAGGGGACCTGGTCACATCTCTGAGATCCTCTGATACACAACAGTTTAGTCTGTTAGTCTCAAAGTACGTTTTAGAAATAAGACTATAGGGGCGTCTGGGTGGTGAAGTGGGTTAAGCAAGCATCTGACTCTTGTTTTGACTCAGATCATGATCTCAGGGTTGTGATCTCAGGGTCATGGATCTAGCGCCATGAAGAGTCCCACCTCAAACCCTACATCAGGCTCTGTGTTCAGTGCAGAGTCTGCTTGAGATTCTCTCTCCCTCTCCCTCTGCCCCTCCTGCTCATGCTCTCTCTGTAAAATGTGTGCATTCAGGATCTTAACTAGAACAATTTAACCATACTAAAATCTTCATCTTACAGATGAAAAAACTGTGGGGGTGAAAGATTAAATAACTTGCCCCAAATCACCTAATGGGTAACACAACCATTTTTTTTTAAGAGTTTATTTATTTGACAGAGAGAGAGAGATCACAAGTAGGCAGAGAAGCAGACAGAGAGAGAGGGGGAGGAAGGCTCCCGGCTGAGCAGAGAGCCAGATGCGGGGCTTGATCCCAGGACCCTGAGATCATGACTTGAGCTGAAGGCAGATGCTTAACGCACTGAGCGACCCATGCGCCCCAACACAACCTTTTTTTTTTTTTTAAGATTTTATTTATTTATTTGATAGGCAGAGATCACAAGTAGGTGGAGAGGCAGGCAGAGAGAGAGGAGGAAGCAGGCTCCCTGCTGAGCAGAGACTCTGATGCAGGGCTCGATCCCAGGACCCTGGGATCAGGACCTGAGCTGAAGGCAGAGGCTTTAACCCACTGAGCCACCCAGGCGCCCCCCAATACAACCATTTTTAAAGTCAGTTCTGTTAGACAGCAAAACCTTTCTTTTTCTTTCTTTTTTTTTTTTTTAAAGCAAAACCTCTCTTTAAACACTGTGCCATATAGACTCTGAACGTGTAAGCCAGGGAGGGGTCCACACAATGATTTTCAAAATGTGATCTTGGGAGTCATAGAAATTCAGGTGTTCATTTCCTGGTGGAGGCCAGAGGGGTAGGCTCTGGACCACCTACTTCTGCCAAACATTGAACTATAAACATAGTTAATATATATAATTTCCTATGTGCCAGGGACCAGTTTAAACATTTCAAGGACATTAACTCAGTTAATTCTAACAACAAACTTGTAAAATAGTTACTATTATTGTGCCTATTTTAAAGATTACACCAAAAGGCTGTCATGCAGACAAGATCACATCATAAGTGGGTGGTATTGTCAGAATAGAATCCAAGGAGTCCCTTGCTTTTAAAGACTACTCTAAAAAAGTGTTCCTTACGTAAAAGTCGAATACTACTGATCCAGCTTAAGTTTGAGAAAAAGTGCTTTAAGGTAATGAAAACATTTTCCTAAGAGAACACTGAACAAGATAATAGAAGAGCAAGTGGTTGGATCTCTTTCTGGGGCTCTTTCCTATGGCGCCGCCTCGGTCCCACCTTGTCTTTCTCCTCTCAGCCTGCAGTCTCCAGAGAAGTCCAGTACTTGGCAAGAAAAGGGCGGGGAGGAAAGCGCGACCCCGCCACCGAGTCAGCAGGAGCCAAGAGGGTCCCGGGAAACAGCAACCTGGAATTTGAAAGGTCCTCTTCCCGGCGGCGCGACTCCAACCTCGAGTTTAGGGACAATGCTAGGACCAGAGCTAGTGGGGTGCCTATTCCGCCAAAGGCGTGGGAAAGCGGGCTCAAGCATCCCTCGCCCGCAAAGGCGAAGTGACAGCAATGGTTTCCCCCAGGTTTCCTGTTGGGGGGGGTCCCCACTCGCGGGTTCTGCGGGTCCCGGAATTCTCCGAGACTGGCCAGAATCCCCAGCCCTGTCCCTTTCCCAGGGGACCTAAAAGCTCCTAGAACAGTCCTAGGTCGTTAGCATTGGTGTGGCTGCACCCCAGCCTCTTCTCAGAGAGCGGAGGGTACAGGTCTTCTGCCCGCCGAGCTAGCGGCTGAGAGCCGGACTGCGCCCGGAGGCTTCCCAGCCAATCAGGAGCCACGTTCTCCGGCGCTCTCCTTTCCGCCCCGCCCCTCTCGTCTCCATGGAAACGGTCCTAGTGTCTATGCCGAAGCCCGGGGCTTCCATTTCGGTCTAGCGGGGCTGCGGCCATTGTTTGTGTAGATAGTCAATTTTGGCCGGTCCCATCCCCCTCAGAGGCTCCATAAGTGACGCGGACTCTCGGGAGCACCGAGCCAGAAGCGGACAAGGGCGGGGAGAGCTGTGGCTGAAGAAAGAGTGGCAGAAAAGGGAGGGTGAGGGGCCGAGAAGCGGCTCTGGCTTAGAAATCCCGAAGACACCAGTGTAGGTGGGTCCTTCACGGCCGCACTCCTCAAGTTAAAACCGAATATGGGGAAGGGGAGAGGAGGACAGAGGTAGTTTGGACCTTGGCGCCGGGGTGCTCAGGGTTGGAAAGTGTTGGGGCGGAGCTGGAAGTCGGGGTCGGGGGTCTGGAAGTGGGACGGAGGCCGCGCGCGTCTTCGCTGCGGAAGCGGAGGCCGCGCAGACCCGTGGCCCTGGCGCGGGCAGATCCCGCTCCTAGAGCACGGTTTGTGTGTCTGAATGCAAAAACACTCGGGCAGCCCGCCTTGGGGGAGCCCGAACCTGTGCTGCTCTTGAAACGTCCATGAATCGTTTTTTGTTTTTGTTTTGTTTTGCTTTTTCTCTCTAGAGAAAGAGGGCTCTTAACTGTTTATCATTTTCCCCAGGGACCTGTGATCACCAAGGCAGAACCGGGTAGCAAAGGCTCATGCCCCCATTTTACAGGTGAGGAAAGTGAGGCCCTGGGAGGTCTAGAAGAAACCATTTTCCAGGTTCTACAAGTGGTTAGTAATAGACTTGAGACTGATCAGGTCCTTGGAATGCTAGATCTGGGACCCTTTTTTAAGGTTCTAATACTCTGATAGTAAATCCAGTATTTCTATTGTAGTAAGTACAGGAAAGCAATGGAACTATCTTCCTACTTAACAATGATGATTGAACAAAACAAGAAAAATACTTTTAGAAAGAAACTAAGTGTCGCATTTCTATTATTTTATATACTTGTTAATAATTAAGAAAGCTTTGGGACTCCGGTTAAATTACACAGAGAGCATCTGCATCCCTGGAGGGATCTTGGTAAGATCAAATTCTGTTTTCATGCCCAAACTAAAAATGTACCTTTGAAGTTTTTAAAGGTTCAGAAATAAAGTCCTTGGTGCCAGTTGGCATAACTCTCCTATCTAGCCCTTGAAACAGAACAGTATATGGGGATTGTAGTGAGTTTGGGAACTGTAAGATATGCCCAAACTTTCATTCCTCCTTTCTTCTCCCTCAGCTCAGACTCCTCAAAACTCCACCCTTCCCCAAAAGAGGAGCATGAAAGAGGAAGGAATGTTCACTACTTTCCTCATAGTCTGATCCCAGGTGAGTAGGATTGCCTTTTCTTTATAAAATGCCTCTGAATTCTCCACGGGTGGTGGGAGTTAAGAGGGAGCAGCAGTGGGGATGGATGGACCAGACAGAATAGAAAATATTCCTCACTTGCCTGAGAAGCTTCCAAGCCTCCTACGTAGCATTTCCCCGCCTCCCACCCAGTCTCTTTTTCCAACATTTACTTGTTTATTCAGCAGGTCATCCAGGTCTGTTGTATAATATGTACTGTTCTTGATGCTCTGAGATAGGGAAATATATAAGAATGTCTTTTCTTAACGTTGGGGAGGTAAGCCATATGAGGTTAATAATAATTTCTCAAGTTATACATTAAACAGTGTCACAATGAATGGCATTTAAAAGAAACAGAAGCTCAGGTTTGAAAAATCATGAATAGGAAGATATTCTAGACAGGAAGATGATCATTTAGTCTCAGGCAGGAATTGAGGGGAAAATAAGAAAACTGAGCTAGTAACTAACTGTAGAGCATTTAAATATGCATGTATAAGGTGAGGCCACATTGTGGAAGGCTGTTGATGTTTAATTGGTTACTTATTGTTGTGCACCACTCAGTCTTCTGCACGTCAAAAGAGGGAGCCATTACCGACGTTTGGATCTATTTACTTATAGTCTTTTATCTAATATTTGATATACATACATAATCTGTATAGACACATATACATACATATATGTACATGTACAAATATAGACACATAGGTAATCTAACATATATGCATGTAGAGAGATTATGTATTAAAAAAATTTGAACATGATAAATAAGCTCCATGAGGGCAGAGAACATTTCCAGTACATAGAACTATGCCTAGCATGTAGTAAGCCCTCATTGAATATTTGTTGAATGTATGGATAGCTTTTACATGTATAATTTTTCATTGTTAAATATATATTATATATAAATACAATTAACAGTTTTTCCACATATTTTTTGGTAGCCTGAGTTGGGTTTTTTTTTTTAAGATTTTATTTATTTATTTGACAAAGAGAGAGATCACAGGTAGGAAGAGCAGCACACAGAGAGGTGGGGGAAGCAGGCTCCCCATCAAGCAGAGAGCCAGATGCGGAGCTCGATCCCAGGACCCCGAGATCATGACCTGAGCCAAAGGCAGAGGCTTAATCCACTGAGCCACCCAGGTGCCCCAGTATCCCGATTTTTTTTTTTTTAAGATTTTATTTATTTATTTCACAGACAGAGATCACAAGTAGGCAGAGAGGCAGGCAGAGGAGGAAGCAGGCTCCATCCCAGGACCCTGGGATCATGACCTGAGGTTTTAACACACTGAGCCACCCAGGTGGCCCAGTAGCCCAAGTTTTAATGACTATTTAGTATTCCATTCAAATTATGTATCATTCCATTCCAGATATATGGGCTTTATTCCAGCCATATGTACTTTATATTAATCTTCTTTTTGGGGGGAAAAACTTAAGTAATTCTCAATATTTTGCTATCATAAAGTTTTCTATTAAATATTTTTAGGGTGCTTGGATGGCTCAGTTAAATCAGTTAAGCATCCGCCTTCAGCTCAGGTCATGATCCCAGGATCATGGGATTGAGTCCGTTACTGGGCTCCTTGCTCAGCAGGGAGCCTACTTCTCCCTCTCCCTCTGCCTGCCATTCCCCCTACTTATGCTCTCTCTCTCTCTGTCAAATAAATAATCTTTAAAATTTTTAAAAAATATTCTTATACATAATTTATTTAGTGTATCTCTTTATATCCTCAAGGTATGCTCTGAGAAACAGGATAACAGAGTTAAGGAATATAAACATGTTTTAGACTTTTGAAAAACTTAAGTTCTTTTTTTTAGAAATACCACATGAATTTTTTTTTTTAAAGATTTTATTTATTTGTCAGAGAGAGAGAGGGAGAGAGAGCGAGCACAGGCAGACAGAATGGCAGGCAGAGGCAGAGGGAGAAGCAGGCTCCCCGCCGAGCAAGGAGCCCGTTGTGGGACTCGATCCCAGGGCCCTGGGATCATGACCCAAGCCGAAGGCAGCTACTTAACCAACTGAACCACCCAGGCGTCCCCCACATGAACTTTTATAACCATTTGAGGAAAGATACTATCTTTCAGAACCTTTACCACCTTTGAGTATTATCTTTAAGATTTTGCCTTGAATTGCATCCCTTTAATCTTTAGTAAGGTTGACCATTTTTTACATACATTTACTGGTCATTTGCATTCCTTCTTTGACATAAGTATTGTATGTCTCTTGACATGCATTACTTTTTTTCCTACTAAATTTTTTTGTTTCTATTTGATAAAAGATTCTCCTTGTATATAAAAGATATAAACCATTTGTTAAAGGCTGTATTTCTCTAGTTGCTTGCCTTTTGCTTTTAAGGACTTCTTTGTTTTTATGAGTTTCACATTTTTATAAAGCGAAATCTTATTTCTTTTTATTTATATAGTATTATGCTTTGGGAGCTCTTCTTCATCCCCAAACATAATACATAATGGCTTTTGTTTTCTCAACTGTTTTTTACAGTTTCAAATATTTTAAAAGTTTAACTCTGAAACCTATCATATATTTATTTTGGTGCGAGAAATGACAGAAGTGAAACATTTTTCCTCCCACTTATTTTTGTAGTAGCATTTACTTTCTCCATTGATTGTGGTGCTACATATTTATATATCAAATTATTAAATTTTTTAACATACCCACACACATACACAAATGTATATACAGACCACTTTTGGGGCTGTCCTGTTTCGTGAACCCATCTCTCAATTCTTTATTTATTTATTTTTTAATTTATTTGACAGAGATTGAGAGAGAGCACAAGTAGGCAGAGCAGCAGGCAGAGGGCCATCTCTCAATTCTTATACTGCTATTCAAGTGTATTTAATTTTGTTCCTTTATATGTAGTGTGCTTAATGGAAAATGCAGAGGAATTTAGCCTTTTTCCACATTTAGGAATAAAGAAAAGGAAGATGGCTCATTGTGGGAAAAAAAAAGAAAGTAAAAGTTTCTTATAATAAGTTTTAGATACCGAATATATTAACTTTTCAGTATTTTTTTTAGTCTAGCTTAATGGTCAAAATACAGGCTCTGGACCCATTATCTAACCTTGCTTCATTGCCTCTACCACTTCTGAGTTATGTGAACTAGACTGCATTACTTAACCAGTTTCTCAATTCTGAAGTGGGGAAATAGAACTTTCTAGGGTTGAGATGCAAACATGTAAAAACCAGCACAGTGCCTGACAAACAGAATCACTAACAATGGTTGCTATTATGTTAGTTATTGTTAAAATATAATGCATATCTGATACAACTTTCTCTAGTCAACTAAGACATAAGAATTGAGACAGGGCATCTAGCCTTTTTTTTTTTTTTTTTTTTGGACAATGGCTAGTCAGATGTTCCAGCATCATTAATTATATAACCTATCTTATCCTCACAAATTTACTATTACCTTTACCATGTTTAGAATTCACTGCTATATTTAGGTCCACTTTCAGATTTCTATTCTTTTATATTGATCTTCTCTATTTCTGTGTCAGCCTCATGGTGTTATAATTAGAGCTACAGAGTTCTTTTTTTTTTTTTTAAGAGCTACAGAGTTTTAATATACCATTGGGTTAGTCTCCTCTCGTTATTTCTTTTTAACACTTTTCCTTTTTCTCACAAAAGTACTTGAAAATACACTCCCCCAAACCTGTTGTATCTTTGAAAATGTAAGTAAGTTTAGTGATGACAAAATTATGTTTATTTTTCCTACCAAAGATTGAGGAGTGTTTTCTAAATTCAAAAGCTACATTTATCTGTGTTCTAAGTGTTTTTGTTAAGTACGTAGGAATCTATCTATATATACACACACACACACATATATTTATATATAAATGTGTATATTTAAAGATTTAAAAATAGATTTAAAGATTTATTCATTTATTTGAGAAAAAGGCAGAGAGGGTACAAGAAGGGGGAGAGGCAGAGGGAGAGGGAGAAACAGATACCCCACTGAGCTGGGAGCCTAATGTGAGGCTCAATCCCAAGACCTCGAGATCATGACCTGGGCTGAAGGCAGACTTGCAACCATCTGAGCCACCCAGGCACCCCAGAATTTATATTTTTTAGTTGCTATTGTAAATGTTATTTTAAAAATTTATTTATTTTTATTTATTTGAGAGAGAGAACAAGCATGGGTAGGGGGGCAAGGGAAAAGCAGACTCCCCGCTGAGCAGGGAGCCTGATGCAGGGCTCTCTATCCCAGGACCCTGAAATCATGACCTGAGCCAAAGGCAGACGTTTAACCCTGACTGAGCCACCTGGGCACCCCGTACACGTAATTTTAAAAATACATTTTAAAAGTGGCTCCTGGGTGGTTCAGTCAGTTAAAATACCTTTTAATGAGTATATGTCTGAACTTTCTAAATTACGTTAATTGTATTTTACATGGTCAGTTAATTTGAACTTGTGATGCGTTACATGCATGCAAAAGAATATACTAAAATATTATGCAAAATTTAAAATAACATGAACACCTACCCTCTAGACCACCAAATATTTTGAAAAGCACTCCCCTGCTGACCCCACAATTTCATTCCCTCCTTTTCCTAAAGAGGCAACTGCTATCTTAAATGTGTTTATTATTCCTTAGTTTTATATAAATGGAATCACTGTGATTGGCTTCTTGATTTGTAGCTATACAAATGTAGCTATAGCTTTTTTGTATGTACATATAGCTTTTTTCACAGCTATGTACTGTTTCACAGAATGACAACTTATTTATCCATCCTACTGTTGTTGGGCCTTTTGTATTGCTTCTAGTGTTTCGTTATTACAGCAGTTATGCTGAAAATGTTATTGTACATATCTTCTGGTATACATGTGTAAGTTTCTCTAGGGTATAAACCTAATATTAAAATTTCTGGGACATTGGGTGCCTGGGTGGCTCAGTGGGTTAAAGCCTCTGCCTTCGGCTCAGGTCATGATCTCAGGGTCCTGGGATCGAGGCCTGCATCGGGCTCTCT